ATACTTACTTATCACAAATATATTCACAGTTGAAGTAATGTACATTATATATACTTACTTATCACAAATATATTCACAGTTGAAGTAATGTACATTATATATACTTACTTATCACAAATATATTCACAGTTGAAGTAATGTACATTTTAAATTTGCCAGAAAGACCTCCACAACTGTAGTAATGTACATTATATATTTACTTACCCAAAAGTTTTTGTTTTAGAGAAAAGCCACATTGGGCTATCTGCTAAATCCTCCAGAGAGAACCTAACGCTGCATTTTAGCATTGTAAGTCTGTAAATTTACCACTGTCCCACTGGGTGATTTACCAGAAAGACCTACACAGTCATAGTGATGTGTATTTTATATATTTACTTATTAGAAATATCCCCACAGTTGAAATAATGTACATTTCATATAAGTTATTTAAGGAACATCAGATATTTGTAAGAAAGCTAACTTCAAGGGGTAATAAGAACATCATTTACACTAGTATTATGGTGTTTTTGGCTTATGTAAAATATAGAAAAAACAAATCAACTTTTCAATACCACTATGACCTTCACAATATCTTATTTAGTATTCTATAAAAGGTTCGAGTGGAACATACTAAGCCATTTTAGTTGTAGGCTGGCAAGAGAATAATAAGAAGAAGAATTACAAGTGGGCCAGTTTGAGCAGTTTCTTTTCCTTGTAAGTCTAACATGCATGTTTTTCATGCATTGTCATATGTGTACAGCCTTAGCAGTCAACAGTAAAGATTTTAAAGTGTTGTTTGAACTAAATCTTTACTGTTTAACTCTCTAAACATGGGCTTCATTGATTTGACTGACCACGTGATCTGTGTAGTTGTTTAAAGTCTTTATAGTTTTGATACTACTAACTATTAATATCGTACGTATATCTTCACAAAATTTGGCAGACTTTCATTAATAATTAGAAGTCTTTCACATACAAAAAAATTATACTTTTAGTGAAGTATTTTCATAAAACTAAAAAAAGATTTGTCCATGAATACATTGAGTATTTTTTTATTAGTCTGCATACAAAGTGATTTTAAGGTTAAGATTAAAAATACTTTTCTTCATCTCAAAAATATCAAACTTCAATTGCGTAATCTCTAAAACCACCTAAATACCTTTCAAATGTTTGTTTTCAGTACAATTCTAAATTTTATGTTATTTT